TAGAAAAAACTCAGAGAAAACACTTCAAGATCTAGGTATCGTCAACTACTTTCTGAAGAGGATTCCAAAAGCTCAGGAAATAATAGCAAATTTTAACAAATGAGACTTAGTGAAATTACAAAGCATCTGCACATTAAAGGAAACAATTACCAGAGTGAAGAGATGGCCTACAGAAAATCTGTGTAGCTATTATTATTCCTTTGAAAAAGGGTAATTATCAAGAATATACAAAGAACTTAAAAAATTTAACAGCAAAAGAACAACTAATCCAATGTCGGCAAGTGAATTAAACAGGCAGGTCTCAAAAGAAGAAGTACAAATGGCAAATACATAAGAAGTGTTCAGGAAGTAGAACTGCTCAAAGTGGTAGAGCATTAGCCTTGAACAATAAAGCTCAGGCCGGCACCCAGGCCCTGAGTTATAGGACAGTCACAAGAAAAAAAAGTCAACAACCTTAGCCTTAAAGAAAATATCATAATGACAATGAGATTCCATCTTACCCAGATCAGCGTGACAATCATCAAAAACCAACCAACCACAAATGCTGTCAAGGATGCAAGGAGAAGGAACATTTATACACTATAGGTGGGCATGGAATTTAGTATAGCCACTATGGAAATCAGTATGGAAGTTCCTCAAATAATTAAAATAAAACTACCATATGTGACCCAGTCACACAGTTCTGGGGAATAAACTCAACGGAATCTAAGTCGGCATACACTAAAGACAGTTGCATAGTCATATTTATTGTGGAACTATTCACAATAGCCAATATGGAGCCATAAACTTGGTGCCCCTTATCTGATAATGGACAAAGGAAGCATGGTATATACATACAACAGAGTTTTATCTAGGAAAGTAAGCTAGACTCAGGAAGACAATCCCACATGTGTTAGATCTTTAAAAAGACATGAAAGTTGGGGCTGGGAAGGTGGCTCAGTGGTAGAGCGCTTGCCTTGCATGCCTGAGGCCTTGGGTTCGATTCCTCAGCACCACATAAGCAAAAAGAAAAAAGCCAGAAGTGGAGCTGTGGCTCAAGTGGTAGAGCACTAGCCTTGAGCTGAAGAGCTGAGGGACAGCGCCCAGGCCCAGAGTTCAGGCCCACAACCGGATCCCCCCCCACCCCCCGCCAAAAAAAAGACATGAAAGTAGAAGATAATTCAGGAAAAGAAAGGTAATCAGCAAGAGGGGGCAGGGAGAACTTAATGGTGGAGAAAATAGGACCAAAATATATTACATTCATGTATGAAAACATCGTAATGAATCTTAACATTTGGTACAATTAACATACATTGCCAAAATGTAAAAGTAAACCTCATATATCTGATAAGTAGTTAATCTTCAAAATATAAATTCATATAACTCATAGCAACAATAACAAAAATAATAACACAATTTAAAACTGAATAAAAACCTAAATAAACTTTTTTTTCAAGTAAGAGATCAAATGGAAAGCAAGTATATGAAAAAAAAGCCACTAATCATCTGGAAAATGTAAATCAAATGATAACCACACCTATGTTAAGATAGTTATTATCAAAAAGTCAAAAATAACTGCTGGCAAAGTTACAGAGAAAATGTTAGCATATCCTCTTTCATTTTGACTTGACACCCTCCATCTTAGGTCCTTAGCCCTTTCCTGAAATCAGGTGACCAGAGAAGACCAGACATTAACTCCCACCCTCCACAGATAGCCTCCAGCCACAGTTGTAGTAGCTGAATACCTTCAGCCCAGAGCTAACCCCCTGCCCTTCCATTCCTAGCCCCTGGCCCTATAAAGCTATGGTTGCAAGACAACCATTGCTTGTGTTTCATCTAGTTGAGATGACACAACATTGTCATCTCTCTAGTTGGTGTCCACGTGCTGAAGTGGATCTTCCATTGGATATTGCTGGCAGGAATATAAAGTATATAGTCATTATGAAAAGCAGTATGGAAGGTCCACAATAAATGAAAAATAGAACAACATATTCAAGTAGTCCTACTTCTGAGTATCTATTTAAAGGAAATAAAATTGTATGTCAAAGAAATATCTGAATTGCCACGTTCTTTACAGCACTATTCATGATAGTCATGAGAGGGAAACCACCCAAGTGTTCATAAACATATGAATGGATAAAGAAAGTACAATGTTCATACCTACATAATGGACATAATGGAATATTAAATATTGTTAAATATTCTTCCTTTAAAAAGGAAATACTCCTTCCATTTGCAATAACATGGGTAAACTTTGAAGGTATTGTATTACTTGAAATAAGTTAGACACAGAAATAGAAATGATGCATGATTTCACTTAAGATATGGAATCTGAAAGTTAAAAAAAAGATCAAGCCCGCCATTAACCATAATGGTGATTACTAGAGAAGAGATAATTGTCAAAATGCATAAATCTTTAGTTACAAGATAATAAGTTCTCAAAATCTAAAGTACAACATGTATAACCGTAATTGTATACTTGAAATGGTTTAAGAGAATGAATGCTTTAATATACACCAATTGTATAAGGGGGTTTCACTGCCATATTTCCGGAGATGTGTACAAGTTCCCCCTTCTTTTTTTTATTATTTTTATTTTATTTTATTTGTGAAGATACTGTACAGAGGGGTTACAATTACATGGGCAGGATAATGTGTACATTTCTTACCAAGCATTGCAGCCTCCTCCTTTTGTTTACCCTTCACATCCCTTCCCAGCCTTCCCCCTCCCCCCCAATCCCAATCTTTCTCCTTCCCCCCCTTCCCCCCCCACCGCACCAACGTTGTAAAGCTCGTTTTAAGTTCCCCCTTCTTTTATATTCCCTCAGGCCCTCTCCCTTCACCCTTCCCCTTCTCAAACATATTTTAGTGGATTTCATTATGCTGTCTTTGTATGTGTATACTTTAATCACATTCACCCCTGGGATTTTTCTCCTTCTTCCTCCTCACCTACCTCCCCTCCTCCCTTCCTGTTAATACCCCCTCCCCCAAGACAGTCTACCTTTATGGTTAGGTCCTAAGGAATAGATTGTTAAGTATTCTCACCACTGAAAAAATATTACTATGAGGTAATCATGATTGTTTCATGATAATCATTTCACATCATATAGACCTCATATTTTACAGCTGAATATATATATATATATATATAATTTTTGTTTTTCAGTAATACCCTCAATAAAGCTAGCAAAGGGAAATGTATTTTTTAATACATAACATAATGAAGACATTACCTATCCCAACATAAGACTGAGCCTCTAATATACTAATAAGTAAAATATTTCCAAAATAGCTGGAGCCATTGGCTCACATTGCAATTCTAGCCTCTCAGGAGTCTGAAACCATCCCAGGAAGGAAAGTACACAACACTCCATCTCCAAAATAACTAGCAAAAAAATCCAAAAAACAAAAATCAAAAACACACTGTACTGGGGCTGGGAAGGTGACTCAGTGATAGAGCACTTGTCTTGCATGCATGAGGCCCTGAGTTCGATTCTTCAGCACCACATAAGCAGAAAAAAAAGTCTGGAAGTGGCACTGTGGCTCAAGTGGTAGAGTGCTAGCCTTGAGCTGAAGAGCTGAGGGACAGCGCCCAGGCCCAAAGTTCAGGTCCACGACCTGATGCCCCAAAAAACAAAAAATAAAAACACTGTACTGAAGGTATGGTTCAAGGGATAGAGTTCTATCCATAAGCAAGCAATCCTAGCTTCCTTGAGGGCGTCAGTTCAAGCCCTGGAATTGGCAAAAACAACAAGTACTCATTTTCATATAAAAACTTGAATGTTCTCTGTGATCCTATTCAAAATACTTCAAAAAGTAGAAATTACTAAATATTCATCCCACTGACAAATGTGTAAACAATGAGGTACATCCATAATGGAATATTATTCTGCACTTAAAAAATGAAGCACATGCTATAACCTAGATGAACCTCGAAAATGCTACACTCAAGGACACAAACGCTACAGAGTACATGATTTAATTCATATGAAATGTTCAGATTAGGCCAAACTGTAAAGATAGAAAGTCAACTAGTAGTTGTCAAGGTTGGGAGAAGGATAGACTGGAAGTGACTAAAAATGGGACATGGAATTTGGGAAGGAGATGAAAAAACAGTCTAATATTAGTTAGTGGATGATGTTTCCACAACTACACTAATCTTCTAAAAACCACTGAAGTGTATACTTTAAAAGGATAGATTATGGTACATAAATTATAGCTCAATAAGTGGAAAGAATCCATCAATCACTATGGCTTTTTTCTGCAACTACTTTAAGTTCTGGAAGCTTAAAGAAATGATCTATCAAGAGTGACATACAATTTAAGTAAGAAATTATCTATTTTTCAGATCCTATACTAAAAAAAATAGAAAATAAACACTCCATCAGAGGTCAAAAGTATAATGACTTATAGAATGAAATGGTCTGTAATGTTCTGAGTTTCTATCTTCATAATGGTTAAGTTCAGATAATTGTGGCCTTCAAAACAAATTTCATAAAGATCACTTTATTGCCAAGGGAATCACTTCTCTCTAATTGACACATATCTCCACAAAAGAACAAGACAGATGTGTCTTCTTGTTTTGTTCCAAGGTGTTTTACCACATTACCCTACTAGCCAACTGAAATACTGTCCCATAACAAAGTAAGAAAGCTTGATCCCATGATACCAAGAGAATCTGAAAGGTAGAAATCACATCTGCTTGTAGACTACTCAGAAGATACTGCAAGTGATTGCTCACTGTATTATTCGCCTGTCCGCTGGCCATTAGGATTTCCCATCAAGATAAATTGGTAGCATTTAGCCTCAAGTCCCTCACAGGATACCGTATCTAGCAGGAGTGCTGGATACTGCACAACTCCAAAGGGGCTCACTGGAGCATCCTAAAAGCTCCAGAACAAGGAATTACAAAAGACAAACAAACAAGTTAGAAGAGGGTTCCTTAGTCAAAGGAAAGGCATCATACTATGGCTATTGTAAAATCATGATAAACACACAAACCAGTCTTTGTAATTGACGTACCTCATCCTTCAGCTGACTTCTATTTGTTTCATGTTGCTGGTATTCTATTCTACATTTTAACACTTTACGGTCAGCAGCAGCAATCCTTTTCTCATACTCTATGTTATTTCCAACCTCATTCTCTAAAAACTTGATCTTTTGTTTAACCAAATTTTCTTTTTCTCGTATTTGCTGTTTTATGTTTGCTAATGCCTAGGATTGAAACACACATGTTCATTTAAATATTTTCATATAAAAACCCTGAATGAAATTAAGTTTTTTTTTATTTTACCATTAGTAGGTTCAACACTCATTAGGCAAAAACTTTTTAAGAGAAATGTTTTAAAGATAGACTATTCAATGAATAAATACAAATTATTTATATGCTTACACCAACATCTATAAATTCATATTGTTCAAGGTCTCTGTATTCGTTTTTATCAATCTGAACTTTACTAAAGTATTGAAACAAACAAGTAGGCTTTTATGAATGAAGGGTAAGACCCTAAAACGTAATCGAGTTATTTGTCATATACAGATTTGGGTTTCAGTGAAAATTCCCAAATATTTTACAGAGTAGTATTTTTCATCTTTTGAAAGTAACACTTTACTAGGAGTGGTGGTTCATGCCAGGACCCCAGTGCTCAGGAGGCTGAGGCAGGAGGATGTTGAGTTTGAGGCTAGCTTGGGTTATATTTTAAGACCCCATCTCAAAAAGCAATTCTTTTAGTTTCAATAGTAATATCTTCATATAGGCTTCTTTTTCTGGTCTTAAAGATACAATAATAAATAAAATGCCAAAGTATTGTAGCTGAAATGTGAACAAAGTATTTTTGGATACAAAGAAGTAATGAAATCTACCCAAGAGAAGTTACTAGACATTTGAGGTAGTATGTAAGTCAGAACTACAAAAATGAATAGCAATGTTTGTTTGGATGTGGTTAAAGCACAGGCCATTGGGCAAGGGAAGAATATACATATTGGAAAGGCAGGACTTAAGACAAAACTGTAAAAAATTCAAATGCCATGTTAAAGAGGCCCAACTTTCATTCTTTCTTTCTTCTTTTTGTGGTGCTGGGGATCAAAGTGAGGACATGGTGCATGCTAGGCAAGCAGTCCCCAACTGAGCTACATGCCCAACCCTGAGAGGCAACTTGTAAGCACTGTGAAACAAAGAGTTTACAAAAGGGAAATGAAAAGATCAGAAGAGGTTTTCACAAGTGACTGCTCTGGAAGGCAAGAGATTTGGTTAATTACAAGGAGAAATTAACCTAAACCATACTTCTTTTCAGTTTTCCCACATGGGATCCTACCAAACAACTAATCCTAGGAAACTGGAGGAGGGATAATGTGTTCTGAAATAGGTAAATTTTTGTAAAGTTGTATATAACATCATATATACAGGTATATTAAATGAATATATATGAACTATTACAATGTCGTGTATAGCAAATGATATTCTAATACTAGCATTTTACATAATTATTGTGCTTATTCAACCAAAGGCACATTGAAGCCTCCTAAATTTAATTAAAATTACCATTCTCAAGTTCTACATCATATTGATTTTTCTGCTACTTTGACAGATGCTTTAATATCTACTTGTTTCTTTTCTTTCTTTGTTCTGGTCCTGGGGCTTGAACTCAGGGCCTGGGTGCTGTCGCTGAGCTTTTTTTGCTCAGTAGTAGTACTCTACTAATTTGAGCCACATATCCACGTCAAGTTTCTAGGTAGTTAGTTGGAGATAAGAGTCTCATGGCCTTTCCTGCCCAAGGTGGCTTCCAACTGCTATCCTGAGATCTCAGCCTCCTGAGTAGCTAAGATTATAGGCATGAGCCAACAGCATCTGACTAAATTTTTTAACAGGGCCATTCATGTTTAACTTTTCATATAGATGATGCTTATAACTAATATTCTAACATTATTGCGCTAGAATAAAAATACAATAGAAAAATTTTACTCCTATTCTCAACATTGTTTCAGGATTGTATGGGCCCACTCTCGCCTGCCACGCAGACACTGAGAGGGTAAGTGCCATTTTGGAGCAAGAGAGACCAAAGAGCACAGTTTCAGCAACAAAGGACTAAACTACACCACACCAAAATATGCTCCCTTCAGGACAGCGAACATTTTGAATGAAAGGCACTTAAGAAAACAGCAAAACCCCAGAATACTCTAATCTTCCTTGTGTTTTTTATTCTCTTTCTCTATGAAAGCAAAAGATAAAACTCCTATATTCTGATAGATTCTCCTATACCAGGAAAAATTTTGATATCTTTATCACCAGAGGCATTGAGTCAAGGTCAAAAGAGATTTGGACAAGCAAATCTTGTTAAACCCTTTCTCTTCTTAGTTACTTTCCCACAATTGTCCCTAGGCTCATCCCTAATAGCACTTAGCCGAACAACTTCTTTGAGTGATTTTTCTTGTGAGGGCTCCCTCTATTTGTGTAAATAATATGCAGACTTTTTTTGCTATTAATCTGTTTTGCATCATTGTGATGGTATGAAGTCACTCTCATTGACTCACAAAAACTGATTTTTATATCTCTTCTCAACTTTGGGTTCAGTGATGTCACATTGGTTGCGGGTATCATTGTACCACAGAAATCAGGAAGGCAAGGTCTAAGGAATTGTATTTACTTTCCCTTCTTTTTCTTTTCGTCTTTAGAGGACAGTTGTTCAACTCTTAGAAGCATCCCTTTGCGAAAAGAAACCAGTTCTTGGCATTTGTCCTATGACAGATAGCTACTAGTTTTTCTTTCTTTTAGATCAACAATTTGACTCAGTGAGAAATCAGAGGGCAATGCTGTCCTTTGGCAGATCTGATTCCCACAGAAGCAGCAGTCAGAACTTCATGTATGAGGGGCTGGGAAGGTGGCTCAGTGGTAGAGCGTTTGCCTTGCATGCTCAAGGCCCTGGGTTCGATTCCTCAGCACCACATAAGCAAAAAGAAAAAAGCTGGAAGTGGCGCTGTGACTCAAGTGGTAGAGTGCTAGCCTTGAGCTGAAGAGCTGAGGGACAGCGCCCAGGCCCAGAGTTCAGGCCCCACGAGCGGACCCAAAAAAAAAAAGAACTTCATGTATGAAATTAAGAAGACCACATAGTAATGTTGGGTCTATGGGAATGGGGGCATCCCATTTTGTCAGTAAGACATTGGTTTCTTGCAAAATTTTAAACTACAAGAATCACAAGCAAATCATATCCAGATTTCTAAACTCTCAGAATTCTAAATTCCTAAGTCACCTTTGCTGCTTGCCTTTTCAAGGAGTAGATTCAGAATAGAACAGCTTGTTTGTTTTTTTCCTCCTCAATTTCTTCTTCTCCTCACTCACCTCCTCCTAATTTAGTCCCTAATATTCAATTGCTTAGTGATCTCCCTAAAATATTCTCCTCAATTATCCTTGAACTTAACAAGTGAGAATACTATGTGTTGCCACTGTACTGTCCTCTCCCTATCTGAGCTTTTGTATCACTGTATCACTTCAAAAGTGAGACTCTGCAACAGTCTAGCGATTGTTTTCTGACTCTCCTCTCCTGTCAAAATGTGTGACTTACTTCCAGATAGTATATTTGGGTAAATCTAAGGCACTATGGTAATCATGTGTAAGTTGGGGCATCAGTTTTACTTCAGTAATATTTGTTCCATAATTCAGAGTTGGGAGGATCCAACTGGGAACTGTAATAAATAATAAGTATTAAGTAGATAATCTTCATAAGTAGATAATCTTCATAAAGTTGCATTACTAAATGTGACTTTCGATTCAGCTTTGAAAAACATTTATCAAAACTATTCAATTCTGGTTCAAAAAAATGACTTGCAAATGACAGTGTGATTTACATTTGAAATAATGACTTAAATAGACAGAACACAAATACAGCTGAACATTACAAGAAACAAACTACTTTACCAAGGCACATTTGTCTATGTCTCCATCCCTCTTCTGCATCTGTTCTACTGTGTTCTCCCATTGTTTAATGAGTTCTTGTCTTTCACTGTGAATCTTACGAAAATCTTGCGCTGCTTTATCCAATTGTAACTGTCAAATGGAAAGCAAATAGCATCTCTGTCAATTTAAGTAATTTTCACCATTTCCTTCGAGATTAACAAATGAAAATCTACACTAAACCAACCTGAGCACTTAAAGTCTCTGTAAGTTCACTGTCAAGAATCTTTCTTTTCTGATGACATTCCAAAGTTAGTCTTTCTAATTTCAGAGTCAGTACCTATGATATAATTAGAAAATATTTATTATCAATTTATTAACTTAAAACTATTAGGTAGCATATCTAATATTAAACATTATAATAATATATAAGCATTTATTTGATATGCAGTAATAATACAATTTCTTATATTTTAATCCCAAAAGACTGATATAATGTTTGCATACAACTTTATGCAAATTAACTTGTTTCTAAAGTGATTGTTCATAGTTTTAAAGTAAATTTTTAAAAAGGGGATTAAGCCAGGCACCGGTGGCTCACGCCTGTAATCCTAGCTACTCAGGAGGCTGAGATCTGAGGATTGCAGTTCAAAGCCAGCCCGGGCAGGAAAGTTCGTGAGACTCTTATCTCCAATAAACCACTAGAAAACCGGAAGTGATGTTGTGGCTCAAGTGGTAGAGCGCTCGCCTTGAGCTGAAGAGCTGAGGGGCAGCACCCAAGTCCAGAGTTCAAGCTCCAGGACAGACAAAAAAATTTAAAAAATTAAAAATTAAAAAGGAGATTAAATTTCAATTTATTTGAAAATACTTAAAATAATAAATTCTATACAATCAGCTAGAAATGTCATGTTTAATGATAATAATTTATTAGTATTATCAGATATGTGTAGATTTTTATTGATGGCTATGATAACAAATCAATCAATATTACAGTCCCTAATTAGCAAAAAAACTACAGTAATATTCAACCTATACTTGAAACAAAACTGCTCAATACCAAAAAATAGTTATAGTACAAAATTTTAATTTGAAATACTTTCAAGAATCTGTCTAAATCAGAATATCTTTAACTTGGAGTCACACATAGATCCCTAATTGGTCAAAATGCTTCAGTGGCTCTGCATAATCAATTCAGCAAATTTTCTTCTTATTTTTATCTTTAAGTACTTGTGCAAAGGAGTTTCAATTCAACATGTTAGTTTGTGGAGTACAATGCATCTTGATCAATGTTAGCAAAATTTTATGTATATTTGAGTACAGTCATGTTTTTCTATACATAGGGTACTTGGCTTTAATGGATATTCAAAGAGGTTCCAAACCTACACCCCAAAATAGTTAATAACTGCTGCTTTAAAAAATCAATACGAATAATTTTAGGTTTAAAAAGTTGACCTACTATAGATTCAGAGAAAACATTGTACAGTTTTTTACCCTAATCTTGTTATCATCCTGTTGTGAATACTTCTGCAAAGTGAGGGCGTCACTGTCTTTATGAGCTGATTCTTCTAGCCAGGCCTCCAATGCTTGCTGGTCCCAGTTCATTTGACATTTCAAACCATCCAATTTTTGAGTAGCCTTAAATATGCTACTCTAATTTCCAAGGAACACAAGAGAAAGGTAGATTATAAAAATATTATTTGCTATACAATCTAAAATAAAACATAACATTATACACTACAGAACATATTAAGAAGAAATGTTGTCCCTGCATTTCAGATGTATTATATACCATATTTCAATGTACATAATTATCAGCTTTATATTTCAATTCTTTAGGGTAAAATAGGGAGGAGACAGTTTACAAACTTGAGAACAGTAATTGAATCAAACAGTCTCTTAAAAAGACTTTAGAGGGCAGGGAGGATGGCTCAGTGGTAGAGTGCTTGCATGCATGAGGCCCTGGGGTCAATTCCTCAGCACCACATAAGCAGAAAAAGCCAGAAATGATGCTGTGGCTCAAGTGGTAGAGCACTAGCCTTGAGCTGAAGAGCCGAGGGACAGCGCCCAGGCCCAGAGTTCAGGCCCACGACTGATGAAAAAAAAAAAAAAAAAAAAGACTTTAGGTAGGCCCAGTTTGGTGGCTTACACATATAATCCCAGCTACTCAGGAGGTAGAGATAGAATAGGTCAGAGTTCAGAACCATTCTAAGCAAAAAGTTAGCAAGTTTGTAAATTGATCTCAGACCACCCTAGTGTGAGCAAAAATATGACTCAGCCTATCCCAAAAATAGCTAAAGCAAAAAGGACTGACAGGAAGAGGAAGGGTGCATGCCTACCAAGCAGTTCAAATATCAATATTGAAGGGAAAAAAAAGACTTTAGGATAGCCCCCTATGGCAGTTTCATTAGATAATCTCTCTCAGCCTCCAAAGACATACATAATACTAGATAAAATAATGTCACTGATACACTAATGGAAACCCATACCAAGTTCCCTTCTGCCCATTTTCAAGTATATTTGCTGCTTTGAAGAGGCCTCTTAAACAGAAATTTTGGAAACACTCTTAGTTGAAGTAAATATAGTAAAGGAGATAAAATATTTCTGTAAACTTAGTCATGTACTGAATCTATACTGATTAAAAATTATAAATAAGCTGGGCACTGGTGGCTCAGGCCTGTAATCCTAGCTATTCAGGAGGCTGAGATCTGAGGATCGTGGTTCAAAGCCAGCCCAGGCAGGAAAGTCAGTGAGACTCTTATCTCCAATAAATCACTAGAAAACCGGAAGTGGCGCTGTGGCTTAAGTGGTAGAGCACTCACCTTGAGCTGAAGAGCTGAGGGACAGCGCCCAAGCCCAGAGTTCAAGTCCCACCACCAACAAAAAAAATATGTATATACATATATAAACAAAAAAAGTACATATGTATATTTATGTATTAGTTATATTGTATATCTTATACTGAGTATTACATATAATATATAAATATTGCATATGTTTATATTATGTGCTTGTAAATATTTCATTACAAAGTTTTATGAAAATATGTATATGTGTGAATGTATAAATATGTGTGTGTTTCCATATATTCATAGACATATATGAAGAGAAGAATCTGAATTTAGAAAGAGTTCTCAAAATCAAGTCCTTGAAAATAAGGAAAAGAGAGAAATAGGTTCAATTAGTTTAAGATTAGACTCACAAAGTTAACAAGTTAATATGAAAGGTAAAAAATTTAATGAATTTGAAAATTAAAAATGTCTTAACTGTTAAAAATGAAGTACTTGGAACTGGGAAGGTGACTCAGTGGTAGAGTGCTTGCCTTGCATTCATGAGGCCCTGGGTTCAGTTCCTCAGCATCACATAAGCAGAAAAAGCTGGAAATGGCACTGTGGCTCAAGTAGTAGAGTGCTAGCCATCAGCTGAAGAACTGAGGAACAGCACCCAGGCCCAGAATTCAGGCCCCACGACCAACAACAACAACAAAAAAAGCCCTTGCATGTAAACCATGCTGACCATTTTGTAACTGGCTATTGGCATAATGCTCTGCACTTGGTCTCACTAGGAAGTTAGCAGATAAGTAACTGGGAAGCAAATGTAATACTCAATCAACTGCACTGAAATCAGCTTGATGTCCTTTCACTGTCTAGAAAACATTGTAAGTATGTCAAGTACCTATACCAGTGACTCATGCCTATAATCCTAGCTACTCAGGAGGCTGAGGTTTGAGGATTATGGTACAAACTCAGTCCAGGCAGAAAAGTCTGTGAAACTCTTACCTTCAATGAACCAGTAAAAAGTTGGAAGTGGAGCTTTGGCTCAAGTGGTAGAGAGCTAGCTAGCCTTGAGACAAAAAGCTCAGGGACAGTGCCCAGGCCCCAGAAGTGCCCTTCCTCTCCCCCTCAACCCCCCCCAAAAAATGTATTAATGCTAAAAAATGAATGCCTGTCATGTACAGAAGAAAAAGTCAATGAGAGGGAGAAAGAGGCATACGGTAGCAGAGAATGTTAGGCCACATTTCAGCACGTACTTCCTTATCATTTTTCTTCTCATGTATTACAGCCATCTCATTTTTGAGTCGTTGGATTTCATCCTTCACTCGGTCCAGTTCTCGTTGGGCAATGGCCTTAAAATGTTCTTCACTTTCAATCTCACGCTCCCTTGCTTTGTAAAGACACTATGAAATAATTATAAAGTACTTATAATAATCCTTTAGACAAGAAAAGTTCCCACATCATGCTTAGATCAAGGACTATTAGCTCCATTACTATAGAACCCACACCACATTTCACTGTGATTACAATGTAGTTGGCATTGCTCACTAATAAACTGCCAGAGGAAATACTGTCTTCAGTTTTCAGATATTACATTGATTTAGGAAAACCCAAAAAACCAACTTAAAAGATATAACTCATTCTTTATCCATAAATGAAAAATATAAATTAAAAACAATATAAATTAAAAACAATATAAATTAAAATTAAAAAAATTAAAAACACAAGAAATAGAATTATATCAAATTGATTGCATACTCTAGTTAAAAGATAATTTCAAAATGTTTAAGAACTGATGGTTATAAATATTTCCTAAAATATATTAGCATACTATCCTGCCTTTGAACTGGGTTGTATTTAATAAAGACATTTTTTTCATTAATGATCTTAGAGTGCTCAAAATGAATACTCTTAGTATTAACTTTACATTACTAAAGATGCTACTATTATAGGTAGTTTATTATCTTTTATGTTTTTAAATTCAGATTTGTCTATTTAATCCAGGTTTGATGGCAATAAAATATACATATAAAGAATCTTGATCTTTAAAAAAAAGAATCTTGATCTTGCCAGGTGGCTTATACCTGTAATCCTAGTTACTCAGGAGGCTGAGATCTGAGGATTGGGATTCAAAGCCAGCTCTGGTAGGAAAGTCCATTAGACTCTTATCTTCAATTAGCCACCAGAAAACAGGAAGTGGTACTGTGGCTGGTGGAGAAAGTGGTGGAATGCTCACCTTGAGCTGAAGAGCTCAAGGACAATGCCCAGGCCTAGAGTTTCAAGCCCCATGACTGACAAAAAATAACAAAATAAAAAAAAATCTTGATCTTTCAAATCCCCAACTCAGTAGTTTAGTAACATTAGGGAAAATATTTTTCTAAATAGTTTATTATCAGGATTCAAGAATCCTGAAGGTACTGTTTTTTTAAAGCTCATTAAATGTGTAACTTTCTAATGAGATTTGGGAACCATAAAATAACTAAAGGTGCTCTCTTCTTTGATTTACAACTGTTTTCTCAGGAAGATAAATGAATTTAGAAAAAAAAAACAGTTTGAGATGGAATTTGGCAAACTGTCCAATGCTGATTTTCCCAGCTGTCTGGGTTTGCTGCACATCATCGGGGAAGGAGGTCTATACTTAAATAGATTATTTATAAAAACAAAAAAAAAACTTTTCAATTTTAAATTAATTTGTATATGTATTCTAATGTAATTTGTACTTGTATCTCAAATTAATTTTGCCTTCCCCTGTTATCTTTAAATCTCCTAAATTTACTTGAATTTATTCACCTTAGTAGTATCATTGATTTCAAAAGACCAAGCCAGATGTGGTACTGCATGCCTATAATCCTAGCACTGGGGAGGCTAAGGAATATGGACTTAGAGCTCAAGGCCATCCATAGCTATACGATGATACTGTCTCTCAAAAAAATTAATTATTGAACTATGCCAATACAGCCGTAGGGTTACTGAAGTGTACACACTACTATCCTCTACTCATAGGGTTACTGAAGTGTACACACTGCTATCCTCTACTCATAGGGTTACTGAAGTGTACACACTGCTATCCTCTACTCATAGGGTTACTGAAGTGTACACACTGCTATCTTCTACTCCAAATCATCCTGGTGGGTGGTCCCAAAAAGTTTTAAAGGAGATAGAAACTCTATTAAGATTCCATGAGTGTTGTTTCTGCTTGAGGCCATAACTGCTCACTGCTTTCATTAGATGCTTCTCATATTTTCCTGCTGTTCCACAGGACACTTTAAGTGATGATTCCTCCTCCCACGTGAATTAATTTGGGTTTAAAATGGGTAACAGTAGTAAGTTCCTCAATGCCTTTTTCTATCTGCTTTCAGGCTGAAGGTTGTGTTCCCAATAGTTTGATTATGATAAAGTGACCTGTTATATCTCTAAAATCAAATCCCGGATACAAGAGCACTGTGAAATGTTCCATGACTACCTATGACATAATCAACATAAATTTCAATATTATTGTACCTGTGTTAATGAGAATTCTTGCTTGACATTTTTGAAGTGAGAAGTCATTGCATTAATTCGATCTTCAAAGTCATGCAGCTCATCTTGCAAGCTTGACCTTTCATCCTGAAGCTTTAGTAACTGTAAATAATAAATTATGTGGTTAACCCAAGCCCTATTAAAAAACCTACTGAAAAGCCCTATTGAAAAACCTAAAATCAAAAGCCCTATTGAAACACCTAAAATCAAAGGGAAATTAAATCTTCACTTATCTCATATCAGAATTTGAGATGCTGTAGCCAACATACTACAGCCTGGGTGTCCCAACCAACAGAAACTCATAATTTGGAAGCCTGGGATCATCAAGGTGCTGGCTGCCTTGGTTCTGGGAAGGGTCCTCTTCCTAGTTTACAGACACATATCTTCTTTCTGTATCCACACACAATAAAAAGAAAAACCATCTATCTGTTGCTTCTGCTAATAAAAATCCTGTTCATACTTAGGAGAGAGCTTCACTTCACTGGCCTAGCTGCCCCCAAAACCCCAGCTCTACACTGAGGGTTAAGACTTCACCATCCGAGCTTTGGAAGAACACAAATATTCAGCACATACCATTGTGCTTCTTAGAATGTTCATAAAATCTTCTAAAATCTACCGATATTGAAAATGTAAAATAATGGTGCAATTTGGAGATTATTGTGGGGAAAGTTAACACCATATTACACAGAACAGAAATCTTCCTTAGCTTTAGAACAATCGTAGGCTCCATCGCTAAATTACAGTTTTCATACATCAGTATTACATTCTTGTCAGGCAAAAATGAGAATAGATTCGGTAACTAAATCACAAGATATCTTAAGCATACATAATGATTACATACATACATTTTTTTCTCCCTGAACTTTTTTTCCAAACTCATAGAGTTAGGTTAAACATAACCAAATAGTGCTCATGTGTTTATGTTTCTTTACAAATTTTGTTTGTCTTTGAATTAGAACCACTAACAAACAAAACGAAATTAAACAGTATGTAAAATCAAACTAAAACATTTGGGGAATTACAAGATAGAGTCTTAGGACTATGAGAATACATTATGCCTAAAAGTAGTACAAAAGCTCAACAAAAGAAAAGATGCTTCCTTACAAACTTGAGCTACAGACTTCAAAGTTAGGGATACCTACCAGGGATACAACCAAGTCACTGAAACGTGGAAGAAAATGTTAGAAGTCTCATCTAAGGGAAAAATTATGCTAATCTGTATCCTATATTTTGCTAACCTTATTAATATCAAATATTGGTTTAAATATTGCTGTATTCTTCACAGGATTTTATATCCATATTACTTATACTAGATGTTTCATTAATTTCAGGTTTTAGTTTTAATTCTTTTTTACTTTGTATCTTCTAGTACATGATGAAAGTACTTAAAGTTATACATTGCTCCTAATGCAGAAAATTTTTGCTGTATGAATATAGATATAAAGCAGTCATGCTCCATTCTTTCCTTACATTTTCCCTTTCAGAACTTTTCCATCTACCCCTATTGAAACTTGAGTACCTCCACATAATCAAGTACCCTGCATAATTGTGTACTCCACATAATTCTTATAATTCTTACAAGATTTTGTGTACCTCACAAAGTTTTAATAGGGAAACAGGTTAAACACTGAGTTCCTTCAAATCCCACCAGTCTACTTTCTGTCTCTCTAAGTACCTCATAAAAGTATTCAATGTTTGTCCTTTTGTATGAAACTCATATCACTTAGCACGATGCCTTCCAGGCTTACTGTTCACTTTTATCACTCTCATTAACATTTCGGTAGTAACAAAGTACACTATTAAATGTTTCAAGGACATGTTGTAAGGCATATATTTTCTCTTCAAGGGATATATGCACTGCTTTTTATTGTATTATTTATATCCTTATCTTTGTCCATTGTGCTTGTCTAATTCTAAGGAGATCATTAATGAAGTACTTCACGATAACTGCATTTTGTAGCTCCAAGTTTTATTTAATTAGCATACAGCTTTGTGGTTTCTATTCATTCACCAATCATGCCTGTTATCATCACATAATGTCTGCAGATTGAAACTTTTGCTTATGAGTAAGAGCATAATTTAATTTGTAAGTTGAGAAGCCTTCCTCATGGAGTTCCCAAATTCTTATTGCTTCTTTCTTAAATACCAAAGAATAAAAATCACCAGATATTTGTTGAAAGCTTTCATCACATGAAGGATACTAAAAATAAAGCATAAGAACACTCATCTCTTCATATTTAAAAGTAGTCAGTGATCCCCAATTCACTTGCTGCAGAGAATGGGTTCTATAAACTGCCATGAATTTATAAAGGCAATCTGATCATATCCATTAAAATTAAAATTGATGTGTTCCTTCTCCTGCCGATAAAAGCAACATGTACACATTTATCTCTAAATTTGTTTTTACATCGTGTGTGGTGGGAAAAACTTGGAAATTTTGACATTAAAAAATCAAAATAGTCAATGAATACTGTCCATAAATGAAACAGTTTTCAAAAAGCTTATTTTTTCTCAAATAAAGTTGTTATGGGAGTTTTCAACAACCAATATTTTTTATGATCAAGCAATACCTAAGTTTCTTTTCCTTGCTAGGATTTGTATTTTGTGTTAAAATAGTATATATACCTCATTGTATTTTTATAATATTCCTGTTGTGTCTTCTTTCTCTATAGCTCTATTACAGCTGTTTGAAATATGTGTTTATTGTAGTGATAAACACTTCAGACAACAGTGGATATTTTGCTGAAGAGATATTTTGTATTTTTAGTTTATGCTCCCTCTTCTCTTTGAATATCTTAAACTTAAGAGAGTTGCTCTTTTTGTTTTTGAAGCGCTGGGAATTGAATTCTACCTCCCACTTCAAAGAGTTGCTTTTTTAATGTCAGACTTTATTTTGGTGAAGCAATTATGGTCCTCAACTTTTCCTCTTTTCACTATTCTGTAATTTTTTAAACAGCCAACCTCAATAACACGTATATAAAATTCTATGAGATAAATATCACGGCGATAATAACTAAGAACATTTAAATTGTACATATGACATTCTCACTGAATGTCCTTCAATTTACTGATTTTTAAACATAACAGGCAGAAACCTAGAAAGAAATATCAGCCATAATGAGTTTTGTTTATAACTATGCTTACGTAGGCGTTACTAGGCAACTTCTGCGATCCCTTTCCAAAAGGCGCTAAAATTTAAGAAAAGGAAGCCAGCTCAGAAGGCTAGAAATGATAACCGGAAGGGGCAGGAGAGGAGTGGTGGGAGAGAAAGAAGGACAATCCGGGTTTTATAGTTAATATCAGTTAGTATTTTGATTTGCTTTTTTTTTTTAATGTAATGTATGCCAGGCACAGGCGGCTCAAACCTGTAATCCTAGCTACTCAGGAGACTGAGATCTGAGGACAAGCAGTTCAAAGCCAGCTCGGGGAAGGAATTCACCACCACCAGAAAAAGAAAAAAGGAAACCATCAGAAGTGGAGCGATGGCTCAAGTAATAGAGTTCTAGCCTCGAGCTAAAAAAAAAAGCTCAGAGACAGTACTCAGGTCCTGAGTTTGAGCCCCTCACCCCTATCCCCCTCACCTCTCTCCCTCTCCCCTCCTCCCCGGTCCCCCCTCTGTCTCTGTCTGTCTCTGTCTCTGTCTCTGTGTCTCTCTGTCTCTGTGTCTCTCTCACACACACACATGCACACACACGCGCGAGCGCGCGCGCGTGCGTACACACACACACACACACACACACAATTTTTCAATTAGCGAAAAGGGTAGGCAAAGGTGATGGAGGAGTTAGGATAGGGGACGCTCGAGAGTTCAGAATGGAGGAGGTTAAAGGAGGGAAATTACAGATTACAGGGCTCGCTCCTCACCTGCTCTTCCAGCAGCTGGTTCTCCTTGTTGGCCACTGGGATGGCGAACCCATCCTCCCAGTGCAGCTCGGCCAGAAATTCACTGCTCATGGCAATCGGAATCCCAGACGAGGAAGCAGAACCAAAACGTGTCTGGCCGCCCCCGCCCGCGAGGGAGCCACAGCCCCGGTCCCTGATCCCAGGCAGGTACGAGCAAAGTTGCTACCGAGTCCTAGCAACAGTCCGGCGTCCTTAGTTACCAAACAGCAAGCGCTTGGACCAGAGGGAGGGACTTCCGGTTAAATATTCCAGGTTCCTGAAGGACCCCGAGGTGCGCTCGCCGCGCGGGGGAGACACGACTGCACCCAGGTCGCTGCGCGGCGCTGGCGAGGGTCACGGCCTGGGGGCGCTGAGGCCACAGCCGAGGACCCACGGGAACCTGCTTGAACCTGCGCTCCACAGCCCCAGATCCCCCCCCATTCTTTCCCCAACTGGCGTCCGCATTCATCCCGCAACCCCAGCTTTGGTCTCCCAGCTCCTCACCCTACGCCCGGCCGCGTCCTGCGGGTCGCGCTCCGCCGCAGGCTGTGGCGCTACTCCTGCCCTCCTGCCCTTCGTCTCTAACGGGGAAGAAAAGTCGCCATTCCCTTCTCTAAAAAGGCGGGCGACAGAGCCTACGTTCCCCAAGAGCAAGACTAGAGGAAAGGCGCCTCTTACACTGGCAAGCATGTGCCTCATTTGCCCAGCGCCCCTGAACCCCAGCCCGGCGTGGGTAGGCTTGAGTTGTGCTCTCAGTAGCATCTCACAACTAAAAGGGACAAAACAGTTCATGAAGGTAATCCTTGCACTTCCAGATTAATTTAAAAACAAAATATGGTTAATGTTCTATCATCACCCCTAACAAAATTAACTTCTTCAGTATCACTTGAGAACCATTTTATGTTCATATTTACTCCGCTATCAAGAAAATAAATCTTTTACAATTGCTTTATTATGCTTTTAAAACCCTCCCTTTTGTAGCTTTATTTCTTCGTGCCTAAATTATTTCTCAACATTTTATCTTCCAGAGGTAGTGTTTTTAAAGTCTAGAATTACACAATTCCCATCAAAATATCACTGACATTCTTTACTGAGATAGAGAAAACAGTCTAAAAATTCATATGGAATAACAAAAGACCTTGAATATCCAAAGTAACTCTAGGCAATAAATAAATAAATAAAAGAGGCAACACTGGTGGTATCACAAGCTCTACTACAGGACTGTAATAAAAACAGCTTGGTGTTGGCGCAAAAATAGACCTAAAGATCAATGAAACAGCCTAGAAGAGACAGAAATAAAACCATGTACTTTGGGTTATCTGATATTTGATAGGGGATCCAAAGATAATGGGGAAAAGGTAACCTCTTTAATCATTGGTGTTGGGAAAACTGGGCATCCATATGCAGAAAACTAAAAGCGAATTTTGTCACCATGCACTAGTATCAACTCAAAGTTGACCAAAGACTTCAATGTCAGACCTGCAACCTTGAAATTACTGTAAGAGAGAGTAGAACACTAGACCTCAAAGGCATAGGCAGAAACTTTGTTGAAAAGAATCCCAGGGGCACAGCAAATAGGAGAGAAACTTGATAGATGGGATGGCATCCAAATAATTTCTCCACAGCTAAAGACATCGTTACTAAACTAGAAAGACAGCCAACAAATTAGGAGATTTTTTCACCAGCAATACATCCAACAAATATCCAAAATATACAAGTAGCTCAAGAAACTAACCTCTCCCAAACCTAATAAACCAATTACTAAATGGGCAAGGGGGATAAGGAGAGATTTCTTTGGAGAAGAGGTAAGAATGGCAAAGAAACATTTGAGGACACGCTCAACATCCCTGGCCATAAAAGGAAATGCAAATCAAAAGATTCTGAGATTAGTTAGATTGTCCAACATCAGGAATCTGAACAACAAATAATACCGGCAAGGATGTGGGCAAAAAGGAACCCTGTTGTGCTGTTGATGGGAATGTAAACTAGTACAACCATGCTGGACAACAGTCTGGAGGTTCCTGAAAAAACGAAGTCAATATATTCCCTATGACTCAGGCATACCATTCATGGGCATCACAAGCCAGGATACTGTAAAGACATCTACACACTCATGTTCATTGCTGCACTATTCACAATAGTCTAGTTATGGAAACAGCCCAGATGCCCTACAGTAGATGAGTGGATCCCAAACTGTGGTATTTTACACAGCCACGAGAAAGAGTAAGTTTATGTCATTTGAAGGGAAATGGATGGACCTAGAACAAATCATGTTAAGTGAGATAAGCCAAACTCAGACAAATCCATGTTTTCTCTCACATGTGGAAATTAGATCTAAAATACACTGGGATATGATAAATTATTATAAGACTAAGCATTCACACACAGTGTAACCAGAGAAGATAGTGATGCTTAGTTAAAGTCACAAACATTCTAACTTTCATTTCTTTTTTTTTTTGGGGGGGGGTCCGGTTGTGGGGCCTGAACTCTGGGCCTAGGCGCTGTCCCTCAGCTCTTTAGCTCAAGGCTAGTGTTCAACCACTTGAGCCACAGCACCACTTCCTACTTTTTTCTTTTTGCTTATATGATGCTGAGGAATCGAACCCAGGGCCTCAGGCACGCAAGGCAAGCGTTCTACCACTGAGCCACCTTCCCAGCCCTCTAACTTTCATTTCTAAGTTTAAACAAGTCTAAAATTAACCAAGAATTTTATACCTCACTTCTACAGTACCTAAATCCCCAGGGTGGTTGAAGATAAATACTCAACTTTTTGGGAATTTTGACCTATAGAGAGTAGTGCATGAAATTTGAAAGTCCACATGTCTTACATAGATGATCAATACTTAAAATAATTTAGTCATTCCTAATAATGAAAGTATTAATCATTAGCTTATTTTAAGGTAGCACATGGTTATTTATACTTAAAAGATTCATTGTAGGAATGCTTTTTAAAGTTACTGGTGTTAGGACTGCTCATGTAATCTTGAACATTACCTTCCTAATGTCTATCCCCAGTTCATAATGTGAATCCTGAGACTGCTGCCTGTACCATGTCAGTGACCTCCCCATCTCAGTGTTAGCCCTACATGACTACAGGTGCTTTGCAGTTACCTCATTTCTCTTTGTTTCACAGCATACATCTCATAGCTGAAGCCCTGCCAAGAATCCCATGTCCCACATCTCAAGGATTCTACTTCCTCAGTTTAAGGATGACAATTATAGTGTTAGCTGAATGTCCATACTTTCTCTAAATTCTATAGTTCATATTGACCCATAGTTTTAACATCTAGTTCACACACCCTACATTGCCTTGGTGTCACACTTATGAGTCTATGAGGCTCTAGGTCATAACTCTACGTGAATTCATTCCAATGTAAATTCAAAAACAAGGCCAGTTCTATGAGCCTTATTGCCAAATCTGAAATACTCAAATCTCAACATAGGTGGTCTAGTTTATTTCTTCCCCCCATGAATTTAACTTTTCCCAAATCAGATTGTTCAGGCTATATTCAAAGAGAATTGTTTTCCAAAAATGATGGTATCTCTTTTAAGAAATAGAAAAAATGCATGCATGTAAAAAATAAAAGGAAAAATCTTTTTACTTGCATGCAAGTCCTATTCCCACAAGATTACCACTGGTTGGTACCCTTTAAAATGAAGCTGTAAATATTATTTTGGGGGGGGGTCCGGTCGTGGGGCCTGAATTCTGGGCCGGGCTTTGTCCCTCAGCTCTTCAGCTCAAGGCTAGCGCTCTACCACTTGAACCACAGCGCCACTTCCGGCTTTTTTTTTTTGCTTATGTGGTGCTGAGGAATCCAACCCAGGGCCTCAGGCATGCAAGGCAAGCACTCTACCACTGAGCTACCTTCCCAGCCCTGTAAATATTTTTATATGAATTATTTTCCTATAAAAATAAGATCATATAATAAATATTCCTCTTAAATTTATTTTTCAATTAACATGTTGACATATCTGCCAGCTTGGTAATTCAATGGAGATTTAAAATTAATATTATAAATTATAATATCCCCAATGTTTAAATAAATGTCTTTGTAATACTCCATCAGTTATAGAATACACTTACTTACACATTTTATTACTTAGAAAATTACAATACATCTTTTAATAATGTCTTCAACTTGTGAAACAAGATGTATCTTGCACACCTATGTGTTTCAACAAAGCATATTCTTATAAATAAAACTAATGGCAAATAGGTATAAGCAATTTTATTTTGACAGGTAGCAATAAAATATCTTTTGTTTTTTTATTTGTGAACATACTGTACAGAGGGGTTACAATTGCATGGGCAGGATAATGCGTACATTTCTTACCAAGCATTG